GAGCCCCAGAAGATTTCCATTACTATATTTGTGGATTACAGAATAACATTTAAAATTTGACGCTTTATTTAATGTAGTGACTTCTTCTGTGGGAGGATCCTCCAGAGCTTAAGAAAAAAGGTTTAAAAAAGTTAAATTACCAATTAAATCTTGTTTATTAATAGAAATAAAAGGACAGTCTTATATGGATATCTAAATTCTAAGAACCAAATGCCATCTATTATAAAACAGTTTTCCTTATTTCTGTGAGTTTTCAAAAAGGAGATTTTTTTTTACATTGAATTAGCTATTTTTTATTTGTTACAATATATTCATATGGGCATACAATAAAACAGTATAATTTGATCAGTTCATTCCCTAGTACCTTCCCTTTCCCTGCCATTCCTCCCCCAGTTCTCCTTCTTCTATTCTACTGATCTCCCTTCTATTTTTTTAATTTGTTCTAATTAGTTAAACATAGCGGTGGAATGCATTTTGGCAGATTGTACACTAATGGAGCACAACTTCTCATTCCTCTGGCTGAACATGGTATAGAGTCACACCAGTAGTGTAATCATATATGTATATAAGGTTATAATGTCTGTTTCATTCTACTGTCCTTCCCATCCCCACAGCTCACCTCTCCTCTCAATCCCCTCTACAGTATTCGAAGTTCCTTCATCCTCTCCTAACTGCCCCACTACCCCACTATGGATTAGCATCTGCTTACCAGAGAAAATGCTTGACCTTTTTTTTCTTGGGATTGGCTTATTTCACTTTACCGTGAGATTCTCTACGGCTTATTTCACTTACAATGGTTTTCTCTATTTCATCCATTTACCTGCAAATACCATAATTTCATTCTTCTGTAAGGCTCAGTAGTATTCCACTGTGTGTATGTATCACATTTTCTTTATCCATTCATCTATTGAAGCGCATCTAGGTAGTCTCCATAGTTTAGCTATTGTGAATTGAGCTGTTATAAACATTGATGTGGCTGTGTAACTGTAGTACGCTGATTTTAAGTCCTATGGTTATCAACTGAGGAGTGGGATAGCTGGCTCAAATGGTGTTCCAAGTTTTCTGAGGTATTTCCATACTGCTTTCTATTGTGGTCGCACCAAATTGCAGTGCCACCAGCAATGTATGAGTGTACCTACCTCAAAAAGGAGATATTAAGTATGATTCCTAATTTTGTCTTTAATATCTTCCATTAGGCAAATTCAGTAAGGAATGGCCTCCATAAGGGGACTATAATCATGGACATCTAGTATGGCCATTGAAAGTGCCAAGATTTGTGAGGTCCTTAGGTGAAGAAAGAACAAAGGACCACACTGATAGATCAAATAAAAGTGAAAAAAAGGAATGGGACTTGCTTTTTAGCCAAGGTTTACTTTTTGGCTTTATTTCCAAATATACCTATGGGTTTGAGATGTGATCATTTAAAGATATATGGTGAGAGATTTTGACTTAGAAAGGTTCCTGGGAAGGGATTGTCATGCATTAGAGCCTGCCTGTATTTTGGATACTTCTGGTGTAGGCAAAGAGCAGATGGTCTTTAGGATTGTTGAAGAAAATATAAATAGGACTAAATAGGTTGAGAGCCCAGTACAATGATGAGGTGCGAGGTCTTAACAACTGAGAACAGGTTTCTCAATTTCATAGACATAATTCTGTGTTAATTTATTCTTTCACTAAACATTAACCTAAAATATATACTGATTTTTGCTTTAAATACTGTAGGGAATACAAAAATAAAATAGTCTTAAATCTTATGGAACTTAAAAATATTTTAAGAGATAATACATGTATGTAAAAACTATGCTACAGTGTAGAGTATTAGAAATGCTTTAAAGGAGAAACAAAAATGTTCAAAGAAGTTTGAATGAAGAGTAATTTTGCCTGGGATTATAAGAAAAGCATTCCTGACAAAGATGATACTTGAGCTTGATTTTGTAGATGAAGAGAACATATGATCAAAGAGAAGGGTGTGTTTAGAAAATGAAATGTAACAGGCATGTTATCAAGCAGTATACAAACATAAGAAAAAATGCTGTTGGTTACTGGCAGATTTTAAAGGACCTTAAATACTATGGGGGCAGGGATTTAGGTTCTATTTTTCAAACAATGGGGAAAATGGAGATTATGGGAATAAAATTATTGAATAGCATTATAACCTGGTAGCAATTTGCCAAGTGAATACATTGAGAGGTTTGAGGTAGGAATGATGGTGTGGTGAGATAATAACAATTGAATGTTAATAATGGTTAATGATTATAACACAATGTCTTTAGGCATTTCAGATAATGATGCAATAGCTTGTAAACTCAATTTAGTTGGTGGTGTATTTTTTATCCATTCTGCTTGAACCACCATGATTGCAGTTCCCATCTTCCCTTCACCTGGGATGGTGGTGTGCTGTATTTTTTAAAATGTGTAATAGAATACAATACAAATGTTAGATTTAATTGCATCTAGTAAGGGTAATTAATGTTTTATGAACCTTCTTTCACAGTTTCTATAATATGTGTATGGAACTATGATGAAAAAATATGCAGTATTTCTTACTATGAATTATTCTTTATAAAACTCCATCTTCATGGTAATTTTTAATAGTGCTCTGTGGGTACAAGTGCATGGAGTACTGCATATGTGGCCTATGTTAAGGGCGCCTGAGTGGCAAACCACTCCCCTCTCTCTAGGCGCATCAGCAGCAAACTGCTTATCCCATAGGCACAGCTCTAGGTGTGAGGTCACACTTACTCCATGGTCCATGCCTCAATTGGTTGCTGCAAGGAAAGTTGGCAGAAATTCTATTGGTGGCTGCCTATAATCTGTTTAGCTACTGCCCGTATATATACATGGTAATTACGCAATAAAATCAGACCTATAAAATCTCTGGAGGTCTTGATTTGTGACTCCGCAGCCACACTCTCCTCCACCCTGTTCCGTGGACCTCCTTGCTGAATGAGAGATAGCCCACACAGTGCTTTATAACTGTAGTTTAGGCATGAGAGAAGTTTTTGTTTTCTGTTTTGTTTTTTTTTTAATAATGCTTGGGATCAAACCCAGGTCCTTGTTCATGGTAGGCAGAGGGAAATTCTCTGAGCACATTGTGTATCCTGGGAGATCAGTTTGTATTTGAAGTAGATAATGACTAAAGTACTAGTCATTTATTCTTCTATTTCTTTTAGGAACACTATAGTGAATGTTTAGCTTGATTGGTATATTATAGTTTTTGAATAATCAGTCTCATCACTTTGAGTTGTCTCTTACAATTCTATAAATATCAACTGTCTTTAAAACAGCAGTTCTCAAGAGAGCATAATTTTATCCCATTTTTGCCAACATCTAGAGTTATTTTTGGTTATTATAATTTATTGTAAGTGATATGCTACAGGCATCTGGTAGAATGCTACTAAATAGTCTACAATAAACAGGGAAGCCCCATAAAACAAAGAATTTTCCAGGCCCAAATTTCAGCAGCACCAAGGTTAGGAAACCTTGCTTCAGAGAGACCCAAACTAGTTATTCAAAATAAATGATTCTTAAAAATAGTTGAAAGATTCATGCTTCTCGTTTAACACAGACCCAGTAAAACTGTTTGTAGGATGCTCTGATCATCAGCTTTATTAGATTTAAAATGATATATCAATATTTGCTTATATGTGACCTCAAATGAAATGTTACACAACAGTTCAGAAATAAGATCATTTTCTGAATCTTAACATTAAAATTCATATTACCACCATAATACAGAATAATTTATACTTGGACTATATGAGTAAATAAATGTCTCCCAAGCCTGCAAACCCTGATAATTCGTGGGTACTGCCAAGCTTAGTAATATTTCCATAAAATCTTTGACTAATTCTGTTATGAAATATGGAAGACTAACTTTCTTATTCAATTCATGAGACACTTTAATTAGGGAGCGTATTTTCTTTTTCAGAAAACTTTGTGAATTGTATTGGTATGTTCTCAAAATCTTTTTTTTTTTTTTTTAACTTGTTTTAAATACTAGAATTCCAAATGGCAATACTCAGGTCAAGAGCTTTAGAAACTCATTGGTTGTAGAAATACAAGGGAACAAATTTTTCTTTCTATGGAGAAAGACAATTTTCTTTGATTCTTTTAGGTATTAGTATTCTCAATTACTTTCAGGCCTTTTACCTTACAATAATAAAGGACAAAATCTCCCCCTGGTGATCAAAACATGTAAGTGTATCTTTAAAATGTCATTTTAAAATGGTCTGGGACTGCTCATAAAGCTACTATCACCCTCCACCGAATTTTCAAAACAAAATACATTTTTGATTAGATAACTACTATATATATCAAACATTAATTGGATTTTTTTAGAATATCTGTAGTATGAGAATATGTGTGTGTATGAGTATGAATGTGCGTATTAAAAATTACAAAAAAGTTTTCACAACTATGAGTTAGAAGATTATTGCCTTAATTTGCCACCAGACTTTGTGAAATATAATTTCCTTTAGGAAAGTCCCCTAAATGCATTTAGAATAGCAAATTTATTTCTCATGGCAGAAAACCTGGGAGAACATGGCAGTTAAAAAAAAAATACTTGTGAAGCTTATGAGCTCTGGAAAGGAGACAGGAAATCATGTAAACATTCCTTGAACTCCTTGAAAGTTCAGAAAGCTTCTCATTTAAGGGGAAAATCCTGACAAAAGCATACTATATCACAAGGGATCTTAAAAAAAATTGTATTGCAGCTCATGTATACTTCAACTTATTAATTTTAAAGAGCTGACTATCTCTGCTCTAATTTTCAAGCCAGGTAAAATGGCCCATTACTTTACAAATAAATATCCCTTATAAATTGGCTATAGATTACTGAATAACTAAAATGATTGTAAAATAAATCATGTTCTGTATCTCATGTTGCCAGATCCAAACACTGAATATCACTTCATTGTACTAAGCTCACTGAATATCCACATTCTCATACATATATGACCTGTATACAGTGCTCTTTGTTTAACTTTTATGGTGAGTTAGAGTCCCGTTTTTGAAGCAATCCAGCGTCGGTAATAAGTTACTTGTGTGTAGACTCCAGGTTTGTTCTTTTGACCACAGTTATCTCCCCAGCTTACAATTCCAATGAGATACCAGGTATCTTTAAGATCTTTTATAACTAATGGTCCCCCAGAATCACCCTGAAAATTTAAAAAAAAAGGAGAAAGAAATTAGATTGACATTAAGCTTATTATTTATTTCAATGAACTACGTTTTATTATTAGAAGACAGTATTTTATTATAGCTAACAATGCAGAATAATTAACTGAAACATGAAATTAAAAATTATAAATAGCTTTAAGGTTCAATTTCCATATCTTTATATTATTATTTTTTGTACAGAATACATAGTTAAAAGGAAAAATGAATATGAAGAATTTTATGTCTCACTTTCATTATTCAGCCTGTTTCCCTAGGAGTAGCCACTTCATGCTGGTTTAATAATTTCTTAGAATATCTGATTCCTTATCACTAAATAATATGCTCAAATGAATATTTCATAGATTTAGACTGTATATATTTATTTTCTGTTATATAGGTGAAGATTTAGCTGTTTTACAACCACTTCACAACTTTTCCTCACCATATCTTCATGTTATGTATCTCCATTTTGGATTAAATTAAAACTCGATGTTTACTTTAATCTCACTTAGTAAATGCCATTTATTGGTGAATCAAGCAACGTATTTTGATTATGTTACATTTGACATTTGTTGGGCAGAGTTTGGTTTCCTAGAATTAATAATACACTTTTGTTTTCTTCTTCTTCTCCTTCTCTTCCTTGTTTTGGGGGTGCGGGGTGGGTACTGGGGATTGAACCTAGGGGTGCTTAACCACTGAGCCGTATCCTCAGCCTTTTAAAAAATTTATTATTATTATTCATTTTGAGACAGGGTCTCACTAAGTTGCTTAGGTCCTTGCTAAGTTCCTGAGGTTGGTCTTGAGTTTGTGATCCTCCTGCCTTAGCTTCCTGAGTCACTGGCAAGTGACACCATTCTGGGCTATTCTTTGGCTAATTTTCCATGTACTTTGGCAAATGTTTAATGTTTCAAAAAATCTATGTAGATCTAACAATAATATTTACTAGTACTCAAGGATATCAGAGAACATGTCAGTTCTGGAGACTGAGCCCAGGGGTGCTTTACCATTGAGGTACATTCCCAGCTCTTTTTATTTTTAATCTGAAGACAGGATTTCTCTAAGTTGCTTAGAGCCTCTTAAATCTTGAGATTCTTTTACCTTAGCCTCCTGAATCACTGTGATTATATGCTATGCCACCACAGGAACACATCAGTTGTTTACTTCTTCTGAAGATGTTCCCCATCTCAGCATACACATACTTGCTCAATTTCCCTCTGTTTCCTGCATACTCACACACACACACACACACACACACACACACACACCCCTTCCTTTTATAATGACTTAGATTGGTTACTCTAAACTTGGTGTAGAGATAATCCCGAGACTGTGTAGCCATCACCATTCTTTTGTGTTGATTTCATAATGCTTTGGGTTCCTTAACTTCCATTTTCTTGATTTTTCTCCCTCATTTTGATAAAGTATCCTACCAGGGAGTTTCCTAAGAAAGAGGTGCTTCCAAAGTTCTTATTACCTGTTTGAAAAGGCAGGGCACAAAGGCACCAAGGTGCTATATTACAGAAAACAAAGGGCCAAACAAAGTGCCCAGTTAGTAACAGAAGAGAACAGAGACAAAGAACATAGTGGGGGTAGACTTAGAAGCTTTCAAACACACACACACATAAAAAGAGGATTTATGCTCTTTAAAAATAAAATTTATAAAATAATAATATATATATATATATAACCTAGATACCCTTAAATAGATGAATGGATAAAGAAATGGTAATACATATATACAATGGAATATTATTCAGCATCAAAAGAGAATAAAAATATGGAACTTGCAGGTAAATGATGGAGTTGGAGAATATCATGCTAAGTGAAGTAAGCCAGCCTCCCAAAAACCAAAGGCTGAATGTTTTCTCTGATAAGCGGATGCTGGTCCATAACGGGGCAGGGGATGTGATGAGTGGAAAAACTTTGGATTGGGCAAAGGGGAGCGAGAGAAAGGGTTGGGGGCATGGGTTAGGAAAGATGGTAGAATGAGACAGACATCATTACCCTAGGTACATATATGATTGCAGGAATGGTGTGACTCTACTTTGTGTATAAACAGAGAAGTGAAAAATTGTGCTCCATTTGTGTACAACGAATTGAAGAACATTCTGTTGTCATGTATAACTGATTATAATATATTAAAAAGAGAAAGATCTTTATTCTAAAAATTATAAAACACTGATGAAAGGATTGCAAGAAGTACAAATAAATGGAAAGATATTCAATGTGCATGGACTGAAAAAATAAGTATTGCTAAAATGTCCATACAACCCAAAGTGATTTATACAGTCAATGAAATCTCTGCCCAAATTCCAATGGCATTCTTCAAAGAAATAGAAAAAAACAAAAACAAAATCCTAAGATTCATATGGAATTACAAGAGACTAAAATTGCTAAATCAGTATTGAACAAGAAGAACAAAATTAAAAGCATTGTAAATCCTGATTTCAAAGTATATCACAAAGCCATAGTAATCCAAACTATATGATCCTGGCATTAAAACAGACACAAAAAATCAATGGAATAGAATTGAGAGCCCAGAAATAAACCTACACATCCAGAGTCAACTACTATTTGACAAGAGAACCAAGAATATGCAGTGTAGAAAGGAAAGGACAGTCTCTTCAGTAAACAGTGTTGGGAAAATTAGGTAGCTTCATGCAAAATAATGAAACTGGACCCTTACGTAGCTTAAAAGAATTAACTTAAAATGGATTAAAGACACAAATGTAAGCCCTGAAATTACAAAACTCTCAAGGAAAATGCTCCTTGACACTTATCTTGTTAATGATTTTTTAAGATATGACATTGAAAGGACAATCAACAAAAGAGAAAATAAATAAATGGGACTACATCAGACTAAAAAGCTTCTGTGCAACAAAGGTAATAAGCAACAAAATGAAAAGGTAATCTACAAAATTAGAGAAAATATTTGCAAGTCATATATATGATAAAGGGTTAATATTCAAAATATACAAAACTTTACATAACTCAGTATCAAATAATGAATAATGCAATGAAAATTGGGCATATAACCTGAATAGACATTTCTAAAAAGGAGACATACAAATGGCCAATAGTATAATATAAGATGTTAAGATCACTAATCATTAGAGAAATGCAATCAAAATCATGAGATATCGCTCCACACCTATTAGGATGGATATTACCAAAAAGTCAAGATACAACATCAGTTGAAGAGGATGAAAACCCTTGTATGTGGTTGGTGAGAATGTAAATTGGTACAGCCCTTATGAAAAAGTACGATTCCTCAAAAAAGTTAAAATTAAGACTACCACATGATCCAATGATCCCACTTCTAAGTATTTAAGTGAAGCAAACTAAATCAGTAACTCAAAGAGACATCTGCACACTGCAGTATTATTCAGAGTATCCAAGACATGATCTACCTAAGTGTCTATTAATGAATGGTTGGCTAAAGAAGACACACACACACACACACACCTCTGAACATTATTCAGCTATTTTTAAAAGAACCTGCTATTTGTGATAACACAATGAAATTGGAGGACATTATTACATGAAATAAGTCAGACACAGGAAAACAGAGTATTATCTCACTTACGTGTGGAATCTAAAAAGTCAAACTCACTGAAACAGAGTACATTGGTAGTTTCCAAGGACTGTGGGAGAAATGTTGATCAAAGGGTATAGATTTTGAATTATAAGATGACCAAATCCTGGTAATATAATGTATAGCATGGATGGTGCTGAATAGATTAATTTTATTGTGATAATCATTATAATATGTATGTCAAATTATATACATTTCTTATTTACTATATATTTTCCATTTAAAAATCAAATATGCTCTTACAATCCAGAAGAAAAAGACAAATAAGATTTATAAAATATAATATATATGTATAAATAATATAATAAGAAAAGTAATATTAGTATGAGTTAATATTAAAAACAAACTAATAAAAAATGAATTTAGAACAATAAAAGTAATATAAATTATATAAAATATATAAAATGTAATATACAAACTAACACAACACTTGTGGGCTCTCAGTAGGTAGGAGGACAGATGACATCCTTGGCGAGGAAGTGGTATGGATGAGGGTGCATTAGCAGTTCCTCATGTGAGTGTCTCAAAAGCACCTCAAACTCCACATGGCTGATGTTGGACTCAGATCTCTGTAGGATGTGTAACTTTGCCCTGACATGTTTACCACATTTTTTCAAATTATTTAAACCAGAAATTGAATTATTTTAATTTTTTAGCCAGAAATTTAGATATCATGTTTTGATACCTACTTTCTCCAATCATATCAAAATTATCCCTTCACTTGTCAATTTTAGCTCCTAACTTCTTTATCTAGCTTTGTCTACATGCTGCCTTCTTAGTCCAAATTACCATATTTCACCTGGATTTTTGTTACACAGGCTAACTTATCCACTATGGCCATATCCAGATTTTCTCCTTACTGTGAGCAGAATGATTTTCAAAATGTTCAAATTTGATTTAAAAACTCTTTTAACTTAACAAACAAATAATACTACTCAGGAAGTGTTTTGGGAACTTTATACATATTAACTAATTTAGTATAAACCCCCTGATTAAAAATTTTAGTGCTTTCCATTGCTTTTAGGAAAAAGGGCAAAATACTTCAGGTTGCTGATTGCCCTGCCAGGCAATCCTCTTGCCTCACTTGGCAACATTGAGCCTATATGTTCTGTAATATTCTAAAGGTCTTCTTCAGTTCCTAAGCTCTCCCTAGCCACTTCATCATTACAGCCCTTCTCTTTTCTGCTAATTCAACTCTAGCTACCCTTCAACTTTAGCTTCACTTCTCTTAATAGTGTGTTTATTTTCATATATTCTTATAGAAATATGTCCTTTTTCTTCCAAGCACTCTACTGCAGGCATCTTCCTTTCATTACTGTATATTCTGTATTAACACACATCTATGTACGTAACAGTCAGTTCCCTGAAAGCAGGTTCCGTGTAGTAGTTGGTATGATGCATGGCACAAAGTAGGGAGTTCAAGCCTTTTTGAACAAATAGGAGACACAGAATGAATAAAACAATTACCAGGGAAAATTCTGGACTAATTTTTATGTTCCCAACTACCAGAATTTGAATTATGCTTCCTTCAGAAACTATTGCCAAAACCCATCTACTGTTTTCTGGAATGATTTTGAAGGCCATATTGAGAGAACTTACCCATCAGTGCCTGGATGGTTGTTAGAACTAGAAATTTTTCTTTTTGTAACTCTTGGTTGAACTATAAACAGTAGCAAAATCACAAAACTGCACTAAGTTGTGAAAACTTTCCATTTCTGGCTTTGATATCAGCAGTTCTGATCCTTTGTCATTTGGGTTTGGATCTTTCCTCACTAGACTTCTGGTGGAGAAATTAAGTTCTCTCTCTTCTTATTCTGCATATCAGGCATGGAATTTATTGAGTTCCAGATCAATATGCCATTGATGCTTGAACTTCTATTTTATTACCACATACCCCAGTAAAAATCACTGTACTTGTGTCTTGGATCCTTAAGCCTGAGTCACTTCCCTGAGAACTTACCCTAGTTTTGTATAGGTTTGTTTCATTATTAATTTGCCCAGACAGGCAGGAATTTTACCTCTGCTCCAATCCACTGAGGCTTCCCTAGGACCACCAATACTTCTGAGGCTTCTCAGTAATCTCACTAATTGAACTCTCATCCTTCTTCTCCAAATCTACTGATGATACCTTCCACTTGTTTCCCATGATGTCATCCTTGCTGGAATCCCTCAATTCTGGCTGCCTTCCTCCACACATTCTTGGCAACTGAAGTTAAACATGTGCCAGATCCTGCTCATAAAGCCTTTATGCTACAAAACTCACTGCTCCTTTTCTAACAGATGTTGCCCATGCTGTGCAGTTTTGATGATTCTGGACAGGGTTTTCTGCCACTTGATGTCAATACTATACCTATTTTTTAGCCACATAGAGTCACCTTGTTGGAGTTTTCAAGAATATCATATTAAAAACCAAATGCCTCTAGGAAGATGAACACTCTTACCTTTGTCAGAAATATATATGCCAGATAGATGGTAGAGGACAGAGAAAGGCACTGGAAAGAACTTTAGGCTACTGCCAACTTGGTCTAATCCAATCTTTTCATTGTTAATTAGCCCTTTAACCACATATGCTCTTTATGCTGATTCCCCCAAAATTACATGGGATGCCCTGAAGTATGATTTGTAATTATACCTTTATAGTTTGGCTATGCTCTTTCTCTTTTCTATAATGTTCTTTTCTTATTCTGCAATTGGGCAAGTACTATTTGTTCTTTGGAACATATTGAAATATCATCTCTCTGACACTAGCTCCAAAAATGTTCCCTTCAGGGAGAAAATATTTGTTCCCCATTATGTTATTTATAGCATCATAGTATTTCCTTTTTTAGGATGTGAGCCCTTTAAGAAAAGATACTTTGCTTTATTAATCTTTGGATTTCTGGTTATTAAGAAATTTTAATTTTATTGGTTTGTTTGATAGCATTAAAGAAACATTTTACTTATTTTATTTGGCTTACTAAAACATTTTAAACCATGTATTTGCTATAAAATTTACATTTAGAACTTTTTGGAGCTGATGTGATATCTTGTACTAATATAAAAAATATAGAATATTTTCTGGGTAAGATAAAAATTCTTTTTTGGGAGGTTATGAAATTTACATTGTTTTCTCTCTCCAACCTACCCTGCAAGCATCATAAATTCCTTCCAGATATCCAGCACAGAACATTCCAAATTTTATATCATTGCCATACACCTGTGGTTGCTTGCACACATCATTACTTATGATCTTCACTTTGGCTTCTCGTAGATTGTTTTGGGATTCCCCTGAAGAGAAAACAAAGCAGTTTTAATTTGTATAATGATCATCCTTACCTAGAGCAATGTTGAGAAGACTTGTTTCTAATCTTCATTCTAAAACTGTCAATATAGAATGAGGTTAACATAAGCAGTCCTAGAGAAAAAAATTCTAATTAAAATTTGGTACATTTAGGGATCATTATTTTCTATAACATTTTTATAAATAACTCTACAAGCAAGAAAACCTTTTGGTCCATACCTGTAATCCCAGTGATTTGGGAGGTAAAGCCAGAAGGATCACAAGTTTGAGGCCTATCTCGGCCAAAAAAAAAAAAAAAAAAAAAAAAAGAACTATGGATGTAATCTTGAGCCTGAGTTTGGGTTCTATCCCTAATACCACAAGAAAAAATCAGCTTAAATTTTTAAAAAGGCATTTCATTTTTTATGAAGTCTGTATTTGTGGATTTCAGATTGTTCCCAGAAACTTTATATGCTTAGTTTTCCCTCTCTGCTTCATAAAATAACTATCATACCATACACATTTATTTTATCCTTTACATTAAAAAAACTTTTTTAAAACAAAGGATGAACCTTTGTTTTTATTCATTGATTTGCATGTGGTGCTGAGAATCGAACCCAGTGCCTCACACATGCTAAGCAAGCGCTCTACTACTGAGCCACAACTCCACCCCTTATCCTTTACATTTTATAAAGAGCTTTCACATATAAAATTAATTGACAAGATGGCATTTCTTATATAAGTTAGGTACTCCAGGTTATAAGCCCCCTGAAGTCAATATTATTATAGGCAGACTTTGTATAAGACTAAAAATAGCCCATGCGTTATGGGATTCCTTATATCAAAATATGTATTGCTTCAGAAACCATGACACACTGGTTGCTAGATTTCTGGGATGGTCCGCCAAATTGTGGTGTGATTCTCCACCCCCCCCAACACCAGAAGCATGTGTAAAACCTGTTAATATAATAGACATCATTCTCATGATTAGGTTAATGTTTTATGGCAAAAGTGTGTGAATTTTACAGTTGAAAGTAAGATCACTCATCAGATTGACGTTGAGTTAATCTAAAGGCAAATTATCTAAGGTAGGCCTGACCAAACTAGGGAAGGCTTTTCAGAAAGAACTTGGAATTTCCCTGAGTTCAGAGATACTTTCCCAGTGGCATTGAGGAAGCAAGCTGCCATGAGTTCTAAAGCTGCAAGAAACAGAAATCTGCTTACAACAGGTAAGCTTAGAAGGAATCCTGAGCCACAGCTGAGACCATATCCCAGTTGATATCTTGATTGCAGTTTTGTGAGTCTCTGAGGAGAAGACCCCACTAAGCTGAGTCTGAGCTTGTGACCCATGGACATGATGAGATAATAATAAATGGGTGCTATTGTAAGCCGTGACATTTGTACTAATTTGTTATGCAGTAATTGAAATCTAATACAGATACCATCTCAAGATTTTCAAGATCATTTTAAGATTTATTTTTGGAGAACTATTTGCACATATAGCATATAAGTGAATAATTCAGAAATATATTAAGGAATTTTAAAAGTGATTTTGTTCTTTGAATACAATTATTTTGCCTACTACATTATCCCATACAGTGCTGGGAAGGGTAAAGTGAACCTGACAATCTGTACTTTGTAGGTGATACTGTAAATTCATAACTTTTCCAGCAAATTAGTTGGTAAATATTTCACAATTATAAAAAGCATATCCCATAAATTTTGGATATCCCTCACTATATTTTATATACTGGGGAAATACTTAAAAACATTTTTTACAAAGTATCAATTTTTATCAAAGAATCAGGTTTTACATATCAATTTTCTTTATTGTTTTAAATTTTATTCATTTATATTCTTTTCTTTATTATTTACTTACTTCTGCTTGTTTTAGGTTTATTTTTCTCTTCTATACTAGTTTCTTGAGGTGGGAACGTAGATTATTGATTTGACATGTTTCTTCTTCACTAATGCAAGGATTTGCTATGCATTCTCTATTTTACTGCATCCTGCATACAGGATTCAGTATTCATTCAGTTTAATGTATTTTAAATATTTGCCTGTGACTTCCTCTTACTTATGGGTATGTGGACTAATTGTTAAGCATTTGGAGATTTTCCTGTTATTTTTCCATTGGTGATTTCTAATTTGAATCTCATGGTCAGAGAACATACTTCGTGTGATTTCAGTTTCTTTGTGTTTGTTAAGATTTGCTTTGTGATCTGGTGTTGACTGATACTTAATGTGTATACTGCTGTTTTTTGATGAAATGTTCTACAAATACCAGATTCTATTGTTATTAACAAAGTATTATGGCAGGTATTTTTCTATGCTAACCTCAAACTACTGAGAGAAAATGAATTTTTCTACAAAGCCAAAGGGAATTCATGATGCTTCTCTCATAATTATGAAGCAGAGACTGCAAACCCTTTCTTAAGAGGAAACCCATCAGAAACAGTGTAGACATAGTGAGGTATCAGGCTTGCCCCTTTAATCTATTGGAATAGATAACCTGTGGGTAGCATTTTCTGTGATTGGCAATAAGACCTTAAAGAAAGTGATGAATATTCAGTATGTACATAGAGTACTTGGAGAAACTCTAGAGACCACAAATCCTATTCTTGGCTATGTTAAAGAGTATTCCTTGTCCCTTAATGGAGCTGAGAATTACAGGCGTATTCCTCATATTTTGTTGTATATAAATAAATTGTATAGATTTCTGATAATGTATTTTATCTTTCTCAGAAATCCTTTTTCACCTTCTCAAATCTGGAGTTAAAGAAACCCTCTAACTATTGTTAAATATATGTGCCTGGACTACCTTATAGAATCCAGAGTGTGCCTGGGAATGTCCCAAAACAGTCAATAACCAAGTCATTATTATTTCCTAAGAGATTGTTAGTATATCAAGTTGAATAATTTTAGAGAAGAAAATATGTTTTGGTGATTTATCTTTATGCTCTTCTTATTCACAGTCACCCTAAAATTAACCTCTTAAGTAAATTTTAGAAAATTTTAGAAAATTATAGAAAACTTTGCTATAGTATTTGAGTTGGTCATTCAATAGGAGCATCAATAGGCCTGCTGTTGGCAATGTTTGCCACTAAGTGGAGCTAGAATCCCTCCAAATGAAGCTAACTAGGGACAATAGAGCCAAGAAATACAGTTTCCAAGATTGAGAGCTCAATGACACCATATAAACTCATTAGATCTAGCTGTGTCAAAAGTCACTTCTTACCACTATTGACTTCAAAGGTATAAAACACATTTGCTGTTTTTGTTTGTTTATTTGTTTTGTCTTTGTTTCTGCTTTGATTCATTTGAATTGAATTTCAGTCACTTGCAAAATAAGAGCCCCTGACTAACACAACCAAACTGTGGAAATGACTGGCAGGATGATACTAGTGGAGATTAAATCACACTGCCCTAAAAGGACTTAGCCTTTCTTTAGCTTTTATGAGATACCTACCACCATAATAAAGTGCCCCAAATCCTGTGATGTAGACAGTTGAATTTGGTGGGAAGGATGCAGAAGCTTCTGGCAAACAAATCCGGCGTATGTCATCTGAAAAGGTGACTCTAGGATAGAACTGCACAACGGCAATGTCATACTCCCTTGCTGGGGAGTGATATCGCTCATGGACAATGATTCTCTTTACTTCTCTTTTCATTAAGGGAGGGTTTATTGTTGTTCCAAAAGTAACAGTCCATTGACGTGGATTTGCATTACTGGAAAAGGTTAGAAATTAGCGGAATATATGAACTACCAGAACATATGAACAACATTAATTGCATTTAGGCCAATAAAAGAGAAAATACCATCTTAATAATACTTGGTTGCAATTATATCTTTCTTTGATAATTTGAACAGTCTATTGCTAGTATTTTTTAAGGATAAATATATGCAAATATTTATATGGCACATACAGTATTATTCACCTATTCCTTCAGCAAATACTTGTTGAGAAACTATATGTTATCAAAATGCTAGTGACAAAGAGATGAACAAGATATAAGTTTTTAGATGAGAGGACTATTAGGTTTGAGGAAAGGAAAAAATCAAAACAAATTAAAAAGTAGATAAATAACTTCAATGAAAGGTTATGAATAAAATAGATATATATATATATATATATATATATATATATATATATATATATATATGGAAGACTTTTTTGGGAGAACAACACTTTTAGGTTGAGACATGGCAGATGAGGAGTAAGCAATGAGAGGATAAAGGAGTCAGGTTTCCAGGCAAACATCCGAAGATCTTGGACCAGATGGGCTTTGATTTAGAACATGAAGTTAAGGATGGTGGACGATGAGATTATAAAGGTAGACAGGCAATGGAGTATCTTATAGGACATGACAGAGTGCTTAAATTTTATTCAAGTAGGAATCCACTTGATGTTTTCAAGGAAGGGAATTATGTAGTCTCATTTACATTTTCAAAAAAAATCACATAGGTTCTTTCTGGAAACTAGATTGTTGGATCTATTTAATAGACCTTGTATTTTATAACATTTGTAGATGATAATAAATCTGAAAAAAACCCAAAATGAGATACATTAAAACATTATTATGCTTTCTAAACTTTTAACCTTCTAACCTGAGCTCAAATCCACCAGATGAAAATCAATGCTAATTAATGATGATAAACATAAATGTGTAGGAATTTAGATTCCAAAGTAAACTGCAAAAATCCAAAATGGTAACACCTGGCCTGGGAGCCATTCCTAAAAAACAATCTGAAAATTTCATTATTATTTTTAAAATAACAAATATGTGATGAATTTTCTTAAGTATTAACTCTATATCAGACTGAAATAATATCAAACAATCTCAGGGTGGGAGAGGTCATAAAAATTGTATAGTTCTCCCTCTGATCCAGTGTTTGAAAGATGAGTCTTGGCATCAGGAATATATATGCTTGTTTTCCATTCTGCCCTCTCCTAACATTGTGACTATGGACAAGTTTCTTAAATTTTCTTATCCCCCCCATTGAGAAAGGGCTTAACCAATTAGGGCTTATTAACAGAATGAATATAAGAATTATATAAAAGAATTCTTAAGCACCTAACAAAATGTTCATAGCATAATGGAGCTTAATACTTGTTGTTAGTCATTGCTACAAAAACACTCTCAAGTAGTGATTGTCTGTGCCTGAGCTCTTCTGCAGATGGAGGCATGTTCTTTGCCTTAGAATCCCTTTCTTTATCTTGGAATTCCTTTCATCTGTGAGCAGCTCTTTGCAAGTTCTTTCTTGATTCCTTAAATCTCTTCTACATGAGAGTACTTCAGATCTATTAAAACAATTATCATCTGTACCAAAGCTTTCTCAGGAAAAATTTCCATCTTCTAGGGCAATATTTCTCAACTTTTGATGTGCATACAAATAATTAGAAAATATTGTTAAAGTGCAGTTCCTGATTCTGTAGTTCTGGAATAGATCTTCAATTCTTTCCTTTCTAACAAATTCCATAGCAGTGTAAGGGCTGCTGGATTGTGGACCATATTTTGAATAGTGAGACTATGAATAAACCATCCCTTTGCTTTACCTTCCAAGAGTCTCTACTCTGAAAGCATTTTGTTTTGTGAAGTGCTCTTTAAGTGTGTCATCCAGGAGAGAATTTACTATCCCAAGTCAGCTCTGAGAAACAAAGAGTCTAACATCTAGTTTATTCTGAGCTCCAATTTTTTAAAAGTGAAATCTAAATCACAATAAAGTATTGTAGACAACTGACTCCAATTAAGCTATTTTCTGATAAAAATTTCTTAATAATTTTTACTTTAAAGCATATTTCTGCTTTTTGTAATGATACTCTTTTTTTCTGACCCAAGTTAGAGCCTTACATGTATACTTGCTAAAATTAATCATTTAGTTCTTGCTCATTAATATAACTAAGAGTTTAAAATTTCTCTTACCCAAACATCCATTTCTTTTCCAGCCTTATATTATCAGCTAATTTGGTGAACACAACTTCCATATCATCTGTCAGTTCTAGAAAATATACTATCTAGGACATGGGGAGGCTGGATTTCTTAGGTAGGTCATTCACTATCCTCTGTATTTTAAGATATTCTGAATCATTACCCTATGAATAGAGTTATTGTATTGAGTAAGTTACCCATTACCCTTGCATTACATTTATATTATTTTTCTGTCCCATAGTTTCCTATTTTACTTTTTCATATACGAAATTAGTCATATTATCAATCTTGGTGTGTAGTCCTTGGAAGTATATTTTAAGGGAGACACTGACAAAAGCTAAACTTTTGAAGAAGAACCAATATGATAGGGCATCTTGAAGTTGGTTCTGTGAAAACAGAACAATAATATTTGTTTTCATTTATGATTTGGAAATTCTCATTCATTTTTATGTTTGGCCTGAAAAAGAGAATCTAAGAACAACTGTTCAATGGATGAAGAAATAAGTTTGGTTCCTGCTGTTCCAGATGAAACAGCAAATATTAGTGTTGAAATCTATTAGAGCTCAGATTTAGTGTTCAATGTTATAAAGATATGTATGTATTCTATTAAGAATCTCTGTATGGATTTATACTCTAAGATGGATTGTGTTATGATAACAAAAGTCAGGTTAAAAAGGTTTATAGGTTAAAGGAATGTGAGATGATCTTGTTAATCTATTTCCTCTTTTTGTTTTTCATCTGTTTCCTAATACAGTGAAGTTCAATAAATAATCCAAGGCCACAAGCATTTGACCCAGCTCTTCAGCTGGCTTGGAATGTTCTGCCCACAAAATCTGCTGCTACCCATTTTACTGAGATACTCAGAAAGCTTTGTAATGGCCATAATTCATACTGGAAAACAGCCATAAATTTAATCTCCTTAGAAAGAAATCCCCAAATTTTAAATACAATAGTTATTAAAAAATCCAACTGGTTATTATCTTGAAAAATAAACTTATTTTTTAAAAAGTCATTTTATATTATACTTAATAAAATTTGTTGTACAATAATGCTCTCAATGAATAAAGAATTGATTAATTATTAACTGTTCATTTGAAACAACTTACATGATAGTACACTAATTTTGCCTTGGGCTTATCTTTTGTAGCAGTATTGTCAAGAGGTACTCTATTATGCAAGGTTTTATTGGGTAGCTCAAGAAGCCCTTCTAATTCTTTAATGTTCAGGAGAATCTCTTATCTAGTATCTATCCTTATCCTCCTGCTAATTACTCATTTGGGTTGTGAACTTCTCTAATTTTACCCAATTTCCATATTATAATGCTACATAACTTGATTTGTGCCATTCTCCCTCATCGCAGTCACCAACTTCCTGTATCCATGGAAGATTTCAGTTTCATTTTGCAATTAATTTGATTATTTATTATCAGCATAAGATTGACTCAAGTATTTAGCAGAGAGAGGTTCTTTTATTAAGTGGAGAGCATTGTTTGACATAGGACTAATTTTATATGTTGTTAGTAAATATTTTGTGTTAGGATCACTTCTGTTCTCTTACAGTTTCTTTATTTAAAACTCTGAGGACTTGATTAATGAACACTAGGATAATTATTATAAGTTCCTTAATTCCCACCAACCTTTCTAAATTTACATATGCAGGTATAACATTATTTTAGAAAAGGATCTGAAAAGTTCTCTTATTTTACTTCAGTAATATTTGGGACACTAATTATTACCCAGAATATGATAAAAACTCAAGGATTTTTAACAATAGTGGTGTCTAGTTGAAGGTCAACTTACTTTTTAAAGCAGTGTGCTGCAGTGACAAGCCACCTGTCACTTATCAAGGTGGCCCCACATTGATGGATGTTACTGCGCTGAAGGGAAGCTTGCCAAGGCCAGGCACCCTTGTCTGCAAGTTCTCCAGACATTATTCTATTGACTATTAATGGAACAGCTCGTTTACCGCAACCTTAAAAAGATGAGATCATTAACTTATAAGAAATGTGTAGTTAATGGTTTATACAAAGAACCTAAGAGAGTACTGCAATACAATAATTGCATGTATCATTGTATAAGCATGCACTAAATCACCATCCATTCTCTTTATTTCTTGATGTATTGATATTTTTCTTACTCCCTCCGTTTGTAGATGTGGATATATGTTGCCTACTGAAGCTTTGTTAAGCTGCATATAGCTTACGCACCACAAAGTGGTAAATCGGGCCTGTGAATTTACACGTTAATTATCCAATTATTCTGGGAGCTCCCATTAATATTGTTTCCTAGTTTTGGGTGATTCAGTAGTGTTACTTGACATGACTTCCTCATCAGAAGAACTCCCTCTGGTCAGATAAGTAATTGCCTGTTATTAATATTATTACTTTTTTGAAACTCCCCTCCCATCTACTTCTCTGAGTGACTACTTTCTAAGGTGAGCTTGAATTAATGTATCATCACCAGTTCTTCACTCTTCAAGATGGAAGTTTCCATATAAAAATCACATTCACTATTGACATAAATAAAGATGTGTTCTGTCATGTGCACGAGAAATTACTTTGCTGCTTCTGCTCCTCATACTTAGGGGTCCTGCTAGGAATCTGAACTATTGAGCACAATGTTAATAAAGAAAATATGGTAGGTTCAATTAATTCTTTTTTCAACTAAGTATCAAAAAATAAAATTTATTTATCTGATAATAAATGCGCTTCAAACATGTCCAGCTGTATTAGAAATCTCCATCCCTCTGTCATTTCTCTAGTTTAGACTGTCATTTTTCCTCATCTGAAGAACTACAACTGCTTTTTTCTTCATCCCACTATTTCTAGGTTTGCCTGTCCAATCTGTTCTTCATACTGGAAGCCAAGTGATCCTTCTGAAATGTGTGAAGACTTCACACTTCATTGTCCTCCAGAAAAAGTAAAAATAGTTCAATATGATCTGGTCCTCAATTAATATTGACCACACCTCAGTCCCTCCATTTTATTCTGCATTTCAGCCATGTTCACATTTTTCATAAAAAAATGACTATGTTTTAACTAACTTAAAGACATTTTATATTCTGCTCCCCTGGCCCAGAACACTTACTCCCAGTCACTTGATCACTTTCTAACTCCACAAGACCAGGTTAGGTAAATCTCTGGTTAACTCTCATAGCACTGTGCTCTTTCTCTGTGAAAACATTTATCACACTATTTTAGTATTTCTTAATTTATTTCTATCTTCCCTTATCTTGGAATTAAAAGTTTGAATAAGATCATGTCTTATTTGTAATGGGACCTACCATCCAGGCACACTTTCTGGCACTTGGTAGATATTGAAAGATATTTATTGAATGAATGAATAAGTGAATAAACATATTTTGGGTGTTCTCAAGACACAGAGGCAAAAGCATAAACATGACTTCTCAAATTCTTCCTCATTTTTGTAAAAATTTACAAGATGCAAGTCACAGTGAATTAAAGTGAGTTAGTGAAGCCACTGTCATCTATGAAGGTAAGGATATTAAGTATATTTTGTATGGTCAGTCCCAGATAATGGAGTTTATCTTTTCCCTGTGTATCTCTATCTCATCATTTTATTTCTCAGCAGAAAGAAAGCATATTTCATAGCACTTTAAAAAATTAGAAAAGCAAGCCAACTTATTCCAAACAAGAAATATAAACTTTCTTTAGAATTTTTAACATGTAAAGTGTTTTTTTCTTGAACATGACTTTAAAATTTCAGTCATTGAATTTGAAAATCAGTATTAACATCTATTTCAAAGTTGTTTTTCTTTCCCAAAGAAAGTATGAAACATAAATGGGAAATTATGAGCTAATATTTGAAGATAGCTTTGATGATGTGAAAATTCAACTTGTTTATATAAGCTAACTAGACTTACATGCTTGGACAGTTAGCTTCCCTGTTGATGAGCTCATTGCTGAAAAACAAAATGGGACAAAGAATGATAATTTGCTATTCTCTTGGTTGTTCTCAATGACCAGGAATTATTAGAGGACATTGGCCATATATGGATTCTAGATAGGTGAGCAGGAGATTCAGGAGATTAGCTATCTGATTTAGCAATATATGTGTGCATTTTTGTTGAGATTTATAGGCAACCTCTAACTAAGTACATAATATATCAAGGAGTGTGAAAGACAAAAATGGTGGATGATTAAAATTCACAAATACTTTCTATTAATACAGAACTGTGGCTTTCCAGTGGTGCAGGGTAAAGTTCTTTTGTATTCCACTTCAGGAGACATGAACAAGCAAGTAAGTAGATGGGTCCCAGGGCACAAAGCTTGCCTCAAGCAGACCAGGTTGACTTTTGTCCCTTTTACTTAAAATGTCACATAAGCCTTTCTTTTGGGTTAAGCGTTTAGGTTGAAAAAATTTGGAAAATTACCACAAAAAAAATTGTATTTAAAATACTTCTAGGGCTGGGGATGTGACTCAAGCGGTAGCGCGCTCGCCTGGCATGCGTGCAGCCCGGGTTCGATCCTCAGCACCACATACAAACAAAGATGTTGTGTCCGCCGAGAACTAAAAAATAAATATTAAAAAATTCTCTCTCTCTCTCTCTCTCTCTCTCTCTCCCTCTCTCACTCACTCTTTCTTTAAAAAAAAAATACTTCTAAAACAATTCTTAAATGATCAAAATGCTTTATTTTTTTAAAAAGAATAAACTATTGTGTATTCTTATCTAACATCTGCTAAATATTGGTAAATGTCAATTATTGTCAATTTCCAACATCATTAGGAATCTAATAAAGGAAGAATATTTAAACATATATTTAAATATTTGAACATATATTTAAACACATACTATTATTTAAAAACACACATATGTGTTACATATGTGTAACACATATGTAACATATATCATGTACAGAGTATATATATATATATATATGTATATATATATAATTTTTAGTTGTCAATTATACTTCAGTAAAACTGAGAGAAAATAAATTGATATAAGGAAGTTTACATGAAAATTGTAATGATATTCAGGTTAAATGGTTCACTGAACAGATAATAACAAACTTATTTTTTCTACTAGTGCCATGTTTCTCAAACTTAAATTCTCAGCACCATATTTCCCTTTGTGCAAAATAAGAATTTTTGTTGAAATTTCTATAAATCCCATGTGGGAAATTAGGATGATGAACTCTACAAAGTTAAAACTTTTTTTTTTGTAGTGGGGATTGAACCCAGGCACATTTTACCACTGACCCAGTCTTTTTTTTTTTCTTTTTAGTCTCAATCACAGATCTTATTTGTTAAATATTTAAACATTTAAATTTTAACACTGTATATATATATTAGTAGTTCTTTTTACATGCTATAGTTTGATACCCAGAATACACACAATGTTATTTTTTGTAGTTTATTCTTTTTTCCCTTATCTTTTTAAAATTAAATTATTTATTTAATTTTAATTTGTTATATATGATGGCAGAATGTAATTCATTTCATTTTACACATATAGAGCACAATTTTTCAAGTCTCTGGTTGTACACAAAGTATTTTCCCACCATTCGTGTCTTCACATAAGTACTTAGGGTAATGATGTCTAATTCATTCCACCATGCTTCCTACTCTCATGCCCCCTCCCTTTTACTGCCTCCCTTTTGCCCCATCTAAAGTTCCTCCATTCCTTCCATGCTCTCCCCCATTGCCATTATGAGTCAGCATCCTCATATCAAAGAAAACTTTTGGCCTTTGGTTTTTGGGATTGGCTTACTTTACTTAGCATTATATTCTCAAGGTCTATCCATTTACCTGCAAATGCCTGATTTTATTCTCTTTTAATGCTGAGTAATATTCCATTGTGTATTTTTGACACATTTATCTAATGAAGTTCCCCACACATGGTTATTTGTCAAAACAAAAAGACAGATTCTAGATAAATTATGGATTGAATGTTGAGCTACAGGGTTATTTCAAGAATTGACTTAGAATGTTTTCAGATTTTTATTGTTTTTGGAAGTTCTAAGATGAAGTATTTCTGGAAAGCACTGTTTTTGCCAATAGGAATTGCCTTAGTGGTGCTACTGAGCTTTCCCCTATATGAACCTTTCCTAGGTGAGAGTAAATGGAAATTCTGAAACTTTAAAGGTTCCAGCTCTTTCTACTACCAATCACTCATACTAATGCTTTCGGGTTTCCAAATTATATGCCAAATTTAATAGGTTCCTAAGTAGTAATAGCTTCAATGTTCTATGTTGTGTTTTCTATTTTCTTATGCATTCTTATATTTCTTTGATTTCAGGAAGAACAAACATTATCTTTGCAACTTTACAGAAGAGAAAATAGGCACAATAGTATAGGCCAATTACTTGAGTCTGCAGTGACTCAGTGGAGTTAGAATTAGTTAGGTAGCTGTCAAATCAGTTTTTCCATCAGTACATCCTATCTTTTAATCTAGTGCAATCATTAAAATAAGGTGAAACATACAAGCTGAGTCCATAAGGTACAAAAAGTCAGGTATCTAATGACTGTTTAATGCTTCATTCTGGTTTTAGATAGCTCAGTCTTTTAAAGTTCCTGGCAAATTAACTTTTTACTGGAAATTACATATAACAACATGTAACTTATCAGAATGGCCACCATTTCACAATCTCAATTTGTGTGCCTCCTTACCTAACAAAGAAGGTGGATTAAGTATTTGACAGGTTCCTCCTTCCTCTCTGGGAGAGGTTCACAGCTTTATTCCCTGAATAGCTGACTGTCACATCAGCAAACTTCTGCCCATTCTATTACCTCAGATTTTCACTTCCTGGTGAGATTTCCTCTTGAAGAGTCAGCTAGATCCTACAGGGCAGGGTATCCTGTTTCACATCCAATATAAATCACTTGTTCTGACTCTCTTTTGTGACTCTTAAGTCTGGTATACATTGGAATTTGTAGGGGAAATATGTACTTGTCTCCCAGAAATAGGTGCTATGGAAGCAGCTTGGTATACAAAGGTAAACAAGTTTCTGTCTAGCTACACTCCTCAGAATCTCTAATATGCTAATGTAGGGGATAATTTTCCAAGAGACAAATATCATGGACAGAATTTCTAAAATGTGTTTGAACACAGAACCCCCTTTAAATGAAGTTTATCAAAAAGGTAGAGGTCTAGATTTGAATTTTAGCTCACTTTAATTATTAGATTCCTTAACTGTTTTTGCCTAATTTTTACATCTATGAAGTTGAGTTTCCCTACCTCATTGGAATATAGAAATTAGATACTGCATGGACTTAGAGAGGGTGTAGAGATGGGTCTTGATAAAAGTTTCTTTTCTTTAATTTATGGAAGTGATGGTGGTGTAATGAGCTAAGGGTGAACCAAAAAGAGAAAAGTGGACTATGTATAAATGGCTTTAGAGAATTTTTTTATAATTTGCTGATTTTTTTAAAGCATTATTTATCAGATGGCTTTCGGGGTTTCAAAGTTGGTTTACCATTTTCCAGAATGCTCATATGAAGAAACTTAACAAAAAATTAATAACATCACCATATACAGAAACTATCCATAAAGGCAACAAATGAGTTTTGTTTTTGGAAGGTCCCACCCAGAAATATAATTATCGCTTAACTCTTGGTATTTTCACTTGATTAGTCATGGAGGCAATGACTTTACCATTAACCCTCTGTTGGTGGTAAAGGTTATTTGGGGATGAATGTCAATTTATTTCTTCCAGGAAAACCACTGATGACTAACTTCAGATATGCTTTCATCAGAAGATAATAAAACCTTGAAAGGTCACTTAAGTTGAGAAAATTTTCCATATGAATTTGAGCTATTATTTGAAATGGTAATAATGACAAATAAGTTTCTGATTATATAAAAAACAGACCTAATAGAGACTTCATATCATGGGTAAAGTACCTACTTACCATTAACTTGAACTGAGGAAACATCTATTGGCAAGGCTCTTTCATTTCTTATCTTCTGATTTAAGATGCTATGGATTTTCTTCTCTCTTACAGTTCTTTGCCCAGTAGAAGGGAACTGGAACACCATGACGATGTCTGCTTTTACACCATCTACTTCTGGACTATAGCATGCAAGAGAAAAGTACATATTCAAAGAATGCATCTGGTTTTGTCCTACACTCTTTCCTTTATCTTTTTCTCCTGAATTATAACTCAATTGATGAGTGTTAATTCACATTCATACTCTTCTATGTGTCACTGTCTTACCTAATGCCATTTCACATGTTTCCTCTTGCCTTTTATTATTTTATTACAGCAGTTGGGTGAGATTCAGATTAAAAAGTCATCATCAAAGTAAGAAATTCTGAAAGTTGGAAGAAACCTTCCTGTTCTCTTAGGTCAATCAATGATACATTTGGTAAATGAACCACCTCTACACCATCCATGACAAGTGGTCCTCCAACCCAACGCAGTCATAAAATAATGGAAAATTTACTTCCCAAAGAGACTGTTTTCTCTCTGGTCAACTCCGATTCTAAGAGTTCTTTATTTTAAGTTGCAATATATCTCCCTTTATGTTTTCCCTAAGGCTTAAGGGAAACTGGAACATACACAATGAATCAATTTTCTCTTCCACATAAATATTTGAAGATAATAAAGTGTGGTCCCTGAGTATGCTCTAGATTAAACATGCTCAGTTTCTTGAATTTTTCATACAAAGTGGTTCAAGACTCTTCACCTATGGAACTGAACTTTTTTTTTAGTGTTTTTAAAATTTGTTTTTATGGTGCATTATGATTATACATAATAGTGGGATTCATTATGCAATATTGGAATGTGCACATAATTTGATCAATCACATTCCTTGGTTCCTTCCCTTTCTTTCCCTTCCTGACTCCCTAGATCTACTTTTTCTACTTTACTGATCTCTCTTTCACTGTTATTATTATTTTAATTAATGCAGTATAATTTATGCAAAAGCAATATTTATTGTGGTATAATCTAACATGAACGTAGTATAATTTGGTATATTTCATTCCCCAGTATTTCCCTATGCCCTCCCTTTCTCCCTCTCTCTTGATCCTGTTCATCTACTGTATTAGTCTTCTTCTTACTTTCATTAGACCCATCTCATACCATTTTTTTATTCCTTTCTTTCTATCTCTCTAACTTCTACGTATGAGAGAATGCATATGACACTTCTGAGTCTGATTTGTTTCAGTCAGCATGATGTTCTCCAGCAAATGACACATTTTCATTCTTCTTTATAGCTGAATGAAACATCATTGTGTATATGTACCAGATTTTCTTTATCCATTTGTCTGTTTATGGCTGGTTCCATAATTTGGCTATAGTAATTGTGCTTCTATAAACAATTGTATGCATGTATCACTATAGTATGCTGGTTTAGCTCATTTGGATAAATACCAATTAGGGGGATATCTGAGTCATATGGTGATTCTAGTCTTAGTTTTTTTAAGGAATCTCCATATTTCTTTCCAAAGTGATTGTACTAATCTGCAGTCCAGTGGAACTGAAGTATTACACTCTCTTCAAATAGGAAAACCAAAGTAATTCAAGGTCTTTTTAAAAACTAAAATTAATATGTATTAATCTGCCATGTCTCTTATTTTTATGCTACAAAAGATAAAAGCTCTAAAAAACATTGGAAGCCTATCATCCTGAATTTTTGACTGAAAAGAGTAAATTATATTAATTCTGAAACATTTTATGTGTTGTGGTCCATTTAGGCTCTGGAATATAGTCATATAAATCATCAGAATTTTATGTCAAATTGGAAAACAGGTAACCAAGTGATTTTTCATATTAAATCAGAGGAATTAATACTGTTTACCATATAGAATTTCTCTGGATTCCCCACAAAATATTGCATAATGGTAGTGGCTACAAATCCAAAGGAATTCATGCAGTGATGATAATGCTAGAATGCTATGGCAAACAAAGTGAGAAATCTAGGAATGCTTTTATCTTTTAAATTGTCTAATTTGTATTATATAATCCTTATGGAAGTCCCTAGATATCAGTAAAAATGTAAAAAACTTGGAATAAGTCTATCAATAAGGCATTATTAGTCTATTGGTAATAAAAGTGATTATTATTTCCTTCAAATAAATTCATGTCTGAATAGATTCTTTTTCCCTAAGAACATGAGGCATGACTCAGGCACTGTGGCACAGGCCTGTAATCCCAGTGGCTCAGGAGGCTGAGACACGAGGAACGTGAGTTCAAAGCCAGCCTCAGCAAAAGCGAGATGCTAAGCAACTCAGTGAGACCCTGTCTCTAAATAAAATACAAAATAGGGCTGGGGTTGTGACTTAGTGGTCGAGTGCCCCTGAGTTCAATCCCAAGTACCTCCCACCCCAAAAAAGAACATGAGCTATGCATGTTCATGGGTTTGTGCATATGACATATATGTTCTGTTGCATGATTTTCGAAATAACACAATTGAAACCTTTGGACAATATCTACAACTGATAAGAGTCTTTTCTCTCCACCATAACAAAAGAACATTTATTTCTGCAGGAAGATCTTTTTGTTTGGACATGCCTCCTGTAACTAGTGTTTTATTATAGGTAAAACTCATGATTACCTTTTGTAGTCAATTTTGTCTTTTTAATGTTTTTGAAATGACTTATCTGTCAAAAACATATAACTCGGTGCATGCAATGACATGCTGCTGGATTTTCTTGAGGCTTTGGGTTTTGACAGATTCCAGCTCATAAATCATCAGTAGGGTCTGTGTCCTGGTTCTGTCACTTGGGGCAGAACTGTCCATTGGGGAACTTTGAATACATCACTTACCTTGATCCCCAAATCTTAGTTTTTTTTTTTTAGTTTACAAAATGGTGGTCAGTCCTATATCTTGAGATTATTGGAGCTAATGTTTATGAAGAATCCTAGCCAATAACCTAGTACAAACGGTCACATATATGAGGCTCCTGTGTCATTTGCCCTTTGTCCCTCCAGGCTTGTGACTATCCCTTTGCCCAAGCATACATACGTTAGTCTGATTATTTGGTTCTTGATATAGTGCTTGTTCAAGGCTGAATTAATAAATATTTCATCCACCTGTGATTACAGAGAAAAACTATTGTTAATAAGATATCTTGTAATAATACTATACTCTTGAATAAATGTTAAAACAATAGAAATACAATTTCACAGGAGTAACATCATCATTTAAATCAGCAATCCTCAAACTTTACAACAGAATTATTTGCTCAATTAAAAACATGATTTGGGGGTTCATCTTCCAGAATTTTGGTTTCAATTGGTCTTACAGAAACCTAGACAATCATATTTTTAAAAGTCTTCCCATAAATTTCTAATGTTTGGAGTGATATTTGTAATAGAAGATATCACTATACATTTTTTCTTAGTAGAAAGGCACCATAGAGATGGAACATAGAACAAGGCTTTGAGAAGTGGTAGAGAGGACTTTATCTCCATCCTGGGTTTGAACCTATTCTCTTGCTCATGAACCGGGCAGCCTTGGAAAAGTGACTGAACCAATGTGAGCATATTTCCTAACCTGTAAGATAAAGATAGTGGTATGTCACTCGCAAGGCTAGGAAGATGAAACACATAAAATTTCAGGATTGTTTTGATAGGTAGTTGCTGGTGGTTCCCTACCCCCAATTCTGACATTGTAGGTCTTAACTTCTCTGCAGGTCTTTGGTTGTAAGAGACAAGGTGGAGGCACTAGGGACTTAGGAGACAAAGATTTTTAAATGGTTGATTGTCAACTTTAGGGTAAATAACAAAGGAAGAGAAAGTAAGATAGTGTTACAATAACAGATCACATTGTACTCTTAGCCAGCTTGGTGGTGCACGCCTATAATCCCAGCGGTTTGGGAGGCTGAGGCAGGAGGATCTCGAGTTCAAAGCGAGGCAGTAAGAAACTCAGTGATACCCTGTCTCTAAATAAAATACAAAATAAGGCAGGGGATATGGCTCAGTGGTTGAGTGCCCCTGAGTTCAATCTCAGTATCCAAAAAATAAATAGATAAATAAAAGAATTACACTATTTAGTTTATGTCACCAAAGAAAAAGAAGAATAAAAGCAAATGACTTTGGAACATATGCAACAGTTTTAACTGCCTGCCACACAGCATCATGCTGTTGTGGTCTGTCACACCTAGAGTTTGCCTGACAATATCCCCTAGTAACCACTTGGTGGCAAAAATGTCATCTTAATGCAAGTACCAGAGGTCATGGTAGACAACAGATGAGCCGAATGTATGGATGGGGCAGGGGATCCTAAATCCGGAAGGAAGGGGCAGGAAAACCCACTAACTAAAAATAAATAAATAAATAAAACAAACAAACAAAAACAATGAATGGAAGTCTGTTTTAGGGATCAAGGAATAAGTTAAGACCATCAGGAATTCATAGATGCTTCACTTGGAACCAAAATATTAATTATTTCCTTAATCCTTAAAGTTATTTATGGTAAAAAGAATTATTGTTCACTGTTTTACTAAAAGAGGAAACTGAATTAGAGACATTATGTGACTTTTCCTGGCTTTACACAGATAATGAAAAACAAGGACTTAAATAATGACAAACAAGGATTAAACTCAGGTCTTGCCTGTTTGTTAAATATAATACTAATCTTACTTCAATTTATTTCCTAGAACACATAGCAATAAGCTTTCAAGTAGTTGATTGATCAAGATAACATGGTATAATACTTGTAAAACATATACTTGATAATAGCTTTAAACATAAGTTCAAAGGCAGTATTTAAAGAATAAATTGTTAGTATTTAAAATATGCCCTTATCTGTACATACATAAGAAAAGAATAAATTTGGTGGTTTGCAGCTTATATTCTAGAAATGAAACTATTTTACAAGATGTGTTTTTGCAAGAGTGACAATGGCATATTCATTTCTTTTTACCCACAGTCAATACTATTCCTTGGTAATGGGAGGAAAGTCTGGAAAAAAAAAAAAAAAGAAAAGACAAACCAAAAGAAACAGGGAGAAAAGCAATAAATTTTAAAAGGAATAAAAGTAAATGGCACTTGGATATTTAAAGAAGTTTGGTTGGCAATTATCCCCTGAGTAAGTTCCATGTGCAATTGATTCTTGGCCATTTGTAACTTGTGGATAATTTTCAACTCCGTGTATGATAGCATCCATCTGGAACATGCCTGTGGAAAAAAACAGCTAGACACAGTATTAATTCCATCTTTTAACAGTTAGGTTCTCTGGGAAGATAGTAACTGAAAGAATAATGTAGAAAGAATCTAAGTAGAAATAACCTATGTGATCACAATAATAAAAAATTTTCTTCTTTATAATTCAAATTCTAGGACTCTGTCTCTAAAAAGACTCATTAATTCAATCTGGGATGAGGCTCAGGGATCTTGAGGTGATACAGGCAGTCTGAAGACAACACTTTGAGAAAAGAAGTTCAAAAATTGGTAGAAAGAGTTCTTATGTTAATGAAGTTACAACAGAGGGATGATCCAAGAAAACACAAACATAAAAAACTTATTGCTGAATGGAGTTTATTCATAAATGAGCTTTCAAGAGACCCTGAAATTGTGTTTGCCTGACAAGTTAATGCTTACATCATCAGAAACATTCTTTCTGTGCACATTATAGCATTCCAAGTTCCCAATAGTTTTAGAGAACATTTTTTTTTCAAACCTGTGCACCAGTTACTTATAAATTTATTGCTATTTATGCAACTTAGTAGAGTTAGTGATTTGTAAATCTTTCCTACCTCTCATTTTTTGGCATTTGGAGAGATCTGTAATTTATCTCCTAAAATTGAACAAAGACCTCTTTTCAGGTAGGTTGATACTTCTTTCTGCTTGTTGATTTTGGATTGCTGGAAGTTGCACTGAGATTAAGTTCTAAGAGGGCAATTGAAGGTTAGTTGGGTGTTTAATTAAAGAGTTGGGGAGAGGTTGTCAACTCAAACAAACAGATACACCCTGCCATTCAGCTCTCATTCCTGTACTAAACAGAGCTATGTTTACACATGTTGCTGCCTTTCTCTATCACATGCTTCCCGACCAGCTTTCTGTACGTTCACATAAGGGGTATTGCAGGGCTGAGACTGTGAGTTTCAAAGAGACTTGCCAATGAAGGTTGGCAAATGGAATATAAAGCTCTTGATTCTATCAACACCAGATGACTTCCTGAGAAGGAAAGGAACTGAAAATACTCTACAAAAAACTTTAGATTCAGTGGCTTTCTCTTAATTATATTAAGGATACCATACAAAGGATAGTATAAGATACACTTTTAAAAACACACCTTTAGGTTTAAATAAGACTTGATTGAAGTTACATTGCTACAGGGCTGAAATCAAGGTGGGAATAGAGAGTACGGTGTAATTGCAGTTGAGCTGTTGTTCATAATGCCAAACATTTAAAGGCTTCACCATCTGTCACCAGCTTGCCTGCTCAGGCTTCTAGATACCAGTAATTCACAGGCATGGCCCTCATTTTTCTGTGTACTTGTCCTTTTCAGGCCATTCCTTTGGTTTGTAACACCCTCTGCTAGCTCTACTTTTCTGAATCACAATTCTTCTTAAGATCCATTCCAGATAATACCTTCTTCAGGGTTAGTTTTTAATCCTCAGACTAATTTTGCACTCTCCTTATTTTGTCTCAATTTTTCTTATCCCTCTCAAACTTTCTTACTCTTTATGTAAAGGTAGGATGTCCTTTACTAAACTGCAAACTCTTTGTGCATAGAGATATTCTGCAGTATCTAGCATAGTGCTTTGCCTATGATAGATATGCAGCATGTTTTTTTTTAATGAATCAATGTGAAAATTTATTTCTCAGAAATGATTGCATTTACTAGGAAATAATTCCAAGGATTTTTACTGTATTTTATACATCAAATTGTGATTAAGGCTCCTAGAGAAAAAAAAGAAAATTGCCCCTGAATTATTAGAAGGGAATTTTTTTTCCTTGTGGACATTTTTAGGCTGTTTGACTTCTTGTGGAAAGCTCATTGGTGAGGCTACAAGTGTTATAACAAAAGGAGTAATTATCACTGTTGTTTGCCAACTGTGCATCAAATACAAACTCCCTTGTATTTGAGCCCATTTGTTTTTAACATCAACCATCTGAAGTGAATCTCTATTATTCATATTATATGGATGAGGAAGTGACTTGCCCAAGATGACACACTTGTAAGCCACAGAGCCAGGACTGAAGTAAAGGCCATCCAGCTTCTGAGCTTGTTAATGTCCTTGTAGTGCTGACCTCAGAGTCATCACATAGGTTGGCTACCACCAAGAACTGCTGCCCACTGACAGGCTGCGAGTGGTGCCCAAGTGCACCTGAAACTGCAAGAACACTTCCAAAAATAAGGACCATAATCTTGGTAGCTTTTGTTACAATCCATTAAAGTTTTTATTGAATCTATTTAGATCTCCAGATTTTTGGTTTATATGTTTGTTTGTTTGGGGTAGCTGAAATTGAATACAGGGGTGCTTAACCACTGAGCCACATCCCCAGTCCTTTTTTCTTAAAAAAAAATATTTTATTTAGAGACAGGATCTTGCTAAGTTGCTGAGGCTGGCATTTAACTTGTGATCCTCCTTTCTCAGCCTCCTGAGTTCTTGGGATTATAGGTGTGCACCACTGTGCCCGGCCCAGATAATTTTGATTGAAGAAATGAACCGTAGTCATTCTGTCAAGCCTGGATAGGATATCATTAGCCTGAACACCTAGAGATGCTCACAGGATTTTAAGGCTTGTTGGCCTTCCAGGGATAAAGTCCAACACCCATAGCTTTGAACCTATTGCTATGTCTACTGGAGAAAGGAGCTGGATCCAGCATCATTTGAGGTCTGTGGACTTGTGGGAAGAGTGCTATATGATTACCTTAAACCAGGAGGTAATGAAATCACCAAATAAGGTTAAATATTTTATCATGTTACCAGTCATTTTTTTTTTTGATTGCACTAGTCCTTTTTCTTCTTTTTTTTTTTTTTTTGTGGAATGTTAAAAGGAAACAGACTAATAACTAATCACATATATTACAATAACAATATATTGAACAATATTATCCTAAATTGATTAATATTCCCGAG